AATGTGGAGCATGTAAATGGGACTTCATCTTGATCATTTTGATGAAATAGATTTGTAGTCTGTCTGAGTTTGAAAAAATATGTGACACAGTCTAAGGATAAAGTTACATTTATTTTAAACGCTTTCCTTTTACATGTTGCACACATGCAGTGTGGTTAACCAGCAGGCAAAGAAAACATACGCAACCATGAGCTCGACTTCTCAAAACGTGACGTGAAGAGAAACTCCGTGAGGCTCGTTGAGCTCTGATCACCAACAGCTGATTCCTGTTTCAAATGTTTGGCTCGTAGCCACTTAGGTAAAGTTGGAAAGATATTGACAGATTCGTCAATATCTTTCCAACTTTACCGAACCCTCATAGCCCTGAGACCTGAGAACATAACTATGTCGTTTTGTTGCCTTAACCTAAGTATTTCACCACCTTTTCTTAAACCTAACAAAGTATTTAGGGGGGCTCACTGGGTTAAGAGGGTTATCTGGTAACCGCAAGGTCCTTGGCTGGGACGTGTCCTGTGTCGAAGTGTCCCCGAGCAAGACACTGAACCCCTGACGGCACCCTGGGCACCTGTCATAGGCAGCCCACTGCTACAGGGATGGGTCAAATGCAGAGACAAATTTCCCCCTTACCGGGATAAATATAGTATAATAAAAAAAAATGTTTCTTAAACCTAACTAAGTATTTCACCATCTTTTCCTGACTAAGTATTCATTTACGTGAAGACGGACGTTTATTTTAGAAAGTCCGTATGCATTTAACGAGCAGAGATTTAAACGTGTTTCTGGCTTTTGTTGATCAAATATCATACGAACCGTTCTATGAGGAAACATATACACCCGTGCTTTTGCTACAATGACAACTCCGAGATGTCTGCAGAGCAAAAGGCTGTGAAAAAGTAATTTAATAAAAAAGGGATAAAACAGTGATGAACAGTTGGAACTTTGATAAATAATATAATAAAAATGTCTAAATTAACAATGGATGGTACTCCACAGCTCTGTGTTTACGCATCACTTCCTGTCAACCAGAGGACGATTCCCATGAAGAAGTGCCACACACGGGACTTCATCCCAGCAGATGTTTGAATGAAACGGATACAAGAAAATAGATTGAGTCACTGTTGTTGTAGATTTTTAGCAAAGACGTCAACGTGAAGCAGTCTGAACCCACAGAGACAAACTGAGTTTCTCTGAACATCACTGCTCTGAAAGCACAACTTTCTGCACAACCACAGAAGAAAAACATTCACGAGCCCACTGCCTCTCACCAAACTGCAGTTCACCACAAACACCGTTTCAATTCCGACTCTCTCTGCGATTCAAACCGCTGTGTGAGCTACATGAGTAACTGAGGTGGGAACTGATCTGATTAAACATTACAATAAATCTCACTGTTAGTCTGCGAGACGATTATGTAAACGTTCACCAATGGGCAGTAAAATGTATCGCAAGTAACACCTTAAAGAATTCGTTGTGCTAAATTTTGCTAATTCAGAATTGAAATAGAAAGAAATATGATCCCGTCCAGACTCACACACCAGAGCAGAAAACAGATTCAGTGTTTGTTGTGGTGGAAAGAAGAAACGAGCTGAACCCAATAAAGATTTCCTGTTCTCGACCATTTCAAGCTCTTTTCACAGCGACAACAAGCCACAGATTTCTGCTCTGAGCTGCTTTCAGAAAATAAAACCCAACTGTTACAATGTTTGAACAATGACAACCTTCAACTACACACACACACACACACACACACACATACACACACAGTACTGCTTTATGAAGAATATCAGTGATCAGGCGTGTAAGTTAAAACTGGTTGAAAAGTAGATGTTTTAAAGAGGTCAAGGTTAAATATAACAGTTTTTTCTCATTTCAATGACTTTTCTTTGTTGTAAATCAACTTCATGTTGAAAATATAGTCGTCAATGCTGTTGAAAAAGTTCTTTGTGACGAACAACTTGATGTCTTTTGACCCACTGACCTGACCAACCTGAGGGTCGGGTCAATATTTTGCTTTTCCAGCATCGACCTGAGCCAGAAGTGGACGTAGTCACGGTGACTACACCCGTTGTTTTGTGGACTACGGTGTTGAAGCCTTGAGTTCAGCATTTTGGCGTCTCCATCTTGGTTTTGGGCATTTTGCAACCAGAAGTGACAAAGTGATGAAGAAGAGTGAATAAATGTTAGATGACCAAAAATGTGTTTGCTTCACTTTTCAGAGCCAGATTTTTGCCGCCTGATCATGAAAATTACCTTTTTAGCTAAATTATAAACGTTTAAAAGAATAACTCATTTATTATTTTACACGTTGTGCATTCATTGTCCCTTTAAGTGTAAAAGGGGTGGAGTCTTGCTGCACACTTCCATCACAAACACACAGTTAGCTGCAGATAGTCAAAATATAACTGCACAGCTCTGCTACATACTCCTGTGTGTTCACTATCTCCGGGCTACATCACCAGTATCAGTCAGAAGTCAACAACATTAGATCTCCAACATACAGGATCTGAAAAGTAGATTGACGTCCGATTGTGCAAACCATGAACCCGTCTCCCTCAGATTATGTTTAAATATCAGTTATCATCAGTAAAGTATAGAAAACTCTGTGAAATCAGAAAAGTAGTTTGAGAAAACATCCTGATTTCTTACCTGCAGACGTTGAACTGATATCACAGCGATGAGGTCGGCTGCTTCGATCTCAGTGGTTAGAGACAGAAGCGGAGACGCATCTTCATGAGCTGCGTGTGTGTGTGTGTGTGTGTGTGTGTGTGTGTGTCTGTGTGTTCATGCACAGTGAAGTTCCTCTGTATCACTGTTACTTCAAGTGGTTTTATTGCCAAAAACTGGACATGTGTTTGTGTGTGTTAACCCTCTCTTTCTCTCTGTCTCTCTCACACACACACACACACACACACACACACACACACACACACACACACGTAGCCTTCCTCTTTCTCTCTCTCTCTCTCTCTCTCGTTTTATGTCATGTATGTCTGGCTGCATCTTCCTGTCTGAATGCTTCTCTTTTCCTTCACACACACACACACACACACACACACACACACACACACACACACACACACATAAACAGACAGAGTGGATGACCGTGTTGTGTTAATCCGACAGAGACTGAGAGCCAATCAGGTTCCTCTAAGCCGGGCCGATGACCTCGTGTTATTACAAAAAATAACTTTAGATAATCTTTATTATTCCACAAAGAAAACCAAGCGATCCGTTGTGGTGAATGTTGGACTTTGAACTATACAAACATCGTTTTTAAAGGGGATTTACCAATTTCCTTAAGAAGAAAGACCTTTTGCTTTGTTTTTTTAAAGTAGAAGTGATTTCAACTTGATTGCAACCTAACGTTGTGTTCCAACACATTATAAACTGCTTATTGCTGTTGACAGTAAACAGTCACATTGGCTTCCGATCATAGAAAGTAAAGAAGAAGAAAGAAACCACAAAAGTGCAGCGCTGCTGATGCAACTCTGGAGTAATAATGATAACAAAAGAAACAAAGAAATGGCAAAAGTCAATGTTTTTATTCGATTTTTGGTTATTTTTTCCATCAAATGTTGAGCTGTTTGTGTCAATCAACATGAATGCAGATGAATTCCTGAATGCTCCTTTAAATAATAAATGAATAACAAGACTTATAGCGCCTCAGAAAACAGAGGGAGTTACTGCCACCTTCAGTGGGTCACAACTGTTTTTATTCAGATTAAATAAAACACTTAGTGTTTTTGTTTTCTTCCCACTTTCCTCTGCTTTCAGGAAATATTTCAATGTCCCGCCTTCTTCCGTTCATTCAGGTCACTCTGAACAGAGCTCATGACCTCCTGATGTTGCCAGAAGGTAAATGACACAGAGAGGAAGTCATTCAACAAACATATCAGATTTCCTTTACACACATATCTCAGACGGAACTGTTTTACATGTTGAGTTAATATTGTTCATAGGTAATATTTGTCACACAAATCTCTGGTAATTTAAATTCATGGTTTCTACTCAAAAAGGCTGAAATAAGAAATGTATTCACTCTAAAACTCTAACAACAGTGAAGATTAAGATTCTAGTAAGAGTTTGTGTGTGTTAGTGCTGAACAAAGGAATGCATTATGTCGTTGACAACCCTCATACGTATTTAATGCAGACGTTCGGTTGGCTTTGTGTCAAAATATAGATTCCCAGCATTCAATACACCAGCCTGCAAACATATAATTCATCTGCTTGTGCTGCCATCTAGTGGCAGAGAGTGGAGTTGCATCTTTGTGATTCCCCAGATTTTGAAGCCTTGCTATATATTTACCAGTTTGTAGAAAAGAAAGTTCTGCTGTATTTAAATTCCAGGGATCAGCTATGAAAAGCACAGTTCACGCTCCTTTAGTATCTAGTCCTGAGTTTTGTTTATGTCTCCAAGATTTCAGCATCCACTCAAACAATGGAGGTGAATGGAATTTAGCTTTTGCTCAATTTTGCTGGATATATAGCGACTTTATAATTATTATAAAGTCTTTTTAAATTGAACAATTTGAGACACGGCTCATAGGCATTGGTGAAAGGGTACAAATAACTTTTACTTAAGTTAAAGTAGTAAAAGTCTTTGAATGAAAAATAACTTTAAGTGCAAAAAGTAAAAACACTTATTATGCACATTGGTCCATTTCAGAATAATATAAATCATATTATTTTATCATAATCATCGATGTACATATCACTTTACTCTTATTCCAAGTTTAACTTCTTTAAGTCCAACACTTTTGTTTGTGACCAAAAACATGCAAAGTTCTCTGCATTCACATTTCCTCTGTACTTTGTGTTTAGTTGGTAAATGTTCATATGATCAGCTAAACTAACACAGTGAACGTCGTAAACGTCATATTTATAAACGTCAACATTGACAGCGTCGTCATTGTGAGAGTGTTATAAAAACAATTTGTAAATAATTTATTTGAATTATTATTTGAATAATAATAAGAAGAATAATTTGCCTTTGTGAAAGTTTTTTTCACCTTTTGTTAAACTTCTTTTCCTTCAGACGTCTCATAAAAATCGTTGTGTCTGTCCAGATGCGTTAGAACATCGACATGTTTTAGTGACCAATGCTTTCAAACCTGCTTCCATTCCTGCATTGTGCTGTTTGATCGACACGTTAACTAAACACCACACACACTCATGATTTCACCACAGACACAATAATGTTCCCAACTTCCTTTTTTTCAAAGTATTCACTCATCTTTCGCTGCACAAACACGATCGCATCTTCAGTCGACAGGTAACAGTAAAGTATCTGAATGTGTGTTCGAGTGTGAGGAGAAGGTGGATATTAGGTTTAAATAACTCGAGCTTAATGTCTGTTGATTCATTTAAAATAGTGTTTGAAAAACAATTCAAATGTTTCTTTCTGGAAATGAGTGGGAATTTACATCTGCATGACTCATTTCTTATTTATTGAAGTTTGCATTTGCTGTAAAATTGATTTGTTCTTATTTTAAGTTACATACAATAACAACATATCTACAAAATGTCACATATTTGTATTTGCTTCTCATAATGCATTTATCTTTTAGCTGTCAGAGTGAATTATTTATTGTTGTTGTTTTCTAACATCATAGCAGATTTTTTCTTTAGTTCATGCACATTTTGTATTTTTGTTTCTCTTCTCTTCTTTGTTTGTGGTTAAATGTTGAATGTTTCATCTTGGTTTTAAACTTTTCGTGTCATCCAGCTGAGATGGGTGTCGATCTGGCAGTTGTTACTTTGCTCATCGCTCTGATGCAAGGTCAGTAGTTCCCTGTTCGCTCATGTAACGGGTATTTCAAAAGGTGGAAGTATAGTTTGTTAATAGTCAAATTAAAAGCCCTACCATCTTAAATCTGCATTTTACAGGCGTACATTTTGCCCCTTCCAGGTGTCTTTTGTAAAAACTGGGATGTAACGCTGCCCCAAAGAATTATAGGCATCAGCGAGTCTTGCGTCACAGTCCCGTGTCGTTTCGATGTCCCCAAAGATGCAGAAGCAAACATCTTAAACTGCTCAGATGGTGGCATTTGGAGGAAAGGAAGACTGGATGGTCCTTTCGTCTTCTCTGCACGCAATCCTTACACCAATACTTTACATGTAGGTCTCTCATGAAGTCTCTGAAACAACACTGAAGCAACTTGACCAAACCGCCATGTGTAGCTATTCAAAATGTTGTACTTTGGTGACGCAAATTCTTACTTTATAACAGCTAAGTTGTCAACTTGTTTGTTTTCGGGTAAAAGAAACAAGATATCACATTTTAGTTACTGAGCTTTAGAGGCGCTAGCTGTTCCCCCCTGCTTCCAGTCTTTATGCTAAGCTAAGCTAACACTGATCCGTATGTACAATTGTATGAAACATCCAGATGGACATTGTGTAAGATTTAATCATCAAAAGGTGAGTGTTACAAGCTGTTAACAAAAGACAGGAAATGAGCATGTGACCCGTCTCATCCTCATCTTTTTAAATTAAGCCCGAGATACTTGGTGTCTTTGGAAACTCCTGATCCTCACAAGAATTTAAGATTAAGTTTCGTGCTTTTTAGGGACAAATAGTCGGCGACTTGACGATGAAGAACTGCACCACAACGTTCCACAGCTTCCCGAAGAACTACAGCACCATGTTCTTCTTCAGGCTCGACTGTTTAAACCGCGTCAAGTTCACTTTCCAAAATGGCGTCATGATTAACATCCGAGCAGGTACGAATGGATGAAGAGATGTTCCGCTGGTCCCTCTGTCTCAAACTAAAGTGCACAGATATTTGAACATAAGTTATTGACCATAAATGTAAAAGAGCTAAAAAGAAGAATTAAACTGGTGTTGCTTCCGTCAGCTGGCTAGAAACATGAATCCAAATAGCTGCTGATGCTGCTCCGTGTCTCTAACTGTGTCTTTCTCATGCCTGGTAATTGACATCTGATTCCTCATCGACAGAGCTGCCTCCCCCCCAGCTGACCTCTGTGAGTCAGGTGTCGGAGGGAGAGCAGGTGAGGCTGCGGTGTTCAGTCCCGGTGCCCTGCTCCATCCTGCCCCCCTCCATCACCTGGCTTCCCCGGGACAACTCCAGGCAGGAGCAGACACAAATGCAGCAGGTGATGGATCGCTCACTCATTCATTCACTCATTCATTCATTCGTTCACAGTGGTGGACTCAGTGGGCATTACACCACATACTCAAGTATTGACACAACAGGTGAATATGGTCAAATGTAACTAATAGTTGTCACCATGAAACTTCCCTCGTTGATGACTTATATTAAGACACAAATTTTCAGAAAATGTTCAAATGTTTTAAATGACGCATTATCTTATTAAAAATGTGCTAATTTGCATACATTTCCTGCAACAAAAACATTGTATGAAGCAAGGGTCAATATTCTTGTTTCCCTTTGTTGACGTATTAAAGTCAAAAAAATTTAAACATAAATAAGAAAACACTGCTATAAAAAATCTATTATCTCCATGTTTTTATTAATAAATGTGCATAAATGAGTCTCTGAGTGATGTGTGCACAAACCCCTCTGTGTGAACCTTCAGCACACAGAGAGGAATGAAAGTGTAACGTTTGGTGGATGTAAGAGCTGCTGAAGTGGAGATTTCTGGATCTGAGAAGATGTTTTTGGTAAAACGGAAGGCCTGTATTATAAAACATTATATTGCATTATAAAAATACATGAAATACATCAGGTTTGGGATACTCACACAATCAATCAATTTATTTTTGGTTTTGGTCTTTTCATGTTATTTTTTCACAATAGCAAAAAATATAAAATCATAGCAACCACATTATCTGAGTACAGGTTTGAGATATTTGTAATTTACTTAAGTATTTCCAATTCGTGCTATTTTATACTTCTACTTCATCACATTTAGGAAGAAAACTGTTTTTGTTTACTTTACTAAATGTATTTTATAGCTATAGTTAAATAATCAAATTATCTTCTTATCAAGTTTTAAATATATTAAATTAAACTACATGAGGGTTGAAATAAGCTCCACTGCTGTCTCACATGTCTCATAATATTACTTTGGGATTCTGATATTAATAAGGCATGAATAAATACATAAAAAAATGAATAATGAGTCATTTTATTTTTAGAAATATATATTATTTTGCTGATGATACTTAAGCTTATATGTTTGGGATGTCAGACATTTATTTAACCGCTTCATTTACTTAAACAAACTTTCTCCACTGTTCACTAATTGATTTAACTTACAGTTTCTACATTTTTAATTATCATACCTTTTTTATCGATTCAAATTATTATGATTCAAAAAGGACATACACAGTTTTCCTTAATTTCACATTTCAGTAATTTAGGTGCTTTCCTCTCTCTTTTGCAAAAGCAGAGTTTGGATGGACTGATGACGATGACGTCCACCCTGACCTTCAACGCCTCAGCCGCCCATCACAAGCAGAGCGTCTCCTGCTCTGTCTCCTACCCGCTGACTAAAGGGGGCAGCAGCCCGCCGTCTGCATCGACTCAGACACTCAGCGTCCTGTGTGAGACACTCAGCGTTTGTCTGCAGTAACATGAGTCAAAGTGTGAAGGATACAAAATAATAATAACAACATAATATGTGATTTACTAAAGATGCTGCTGATCCACGGGAGGATCAGCAGCATCTGTAACAGATGGTTATCTTTCCTTTTCTCCCATTAATCATCTTGATTATGTTACCCTTTGAAGGTGCCAGACCCTTTTTGGGAACCAGTGGACTAAGCTAACTACTAACCAGTGCACTAAGCTAATTAC